GTGCAGGCTTCCCTTTTCCGCAAGCTACTCAGAGGTTAACCAGGGTCTGTAAGCAAACAGCTTAAAGAAGGAGCCCGGCTTAGTGCCTGGGTGTCTGGGGCTGTCCCGGGGACCGCCAGCCCTACAGCCCTTCCAGCAGCCCCTCCCTCCCTCCCAAAGGCGATGGGAGGCAAACAGAGCCAGCTCTTCGCCCTCTGCCCACATAGCGCGGAGTCCCACTGCAGGGACGGAGTGGGGACCTGGGCTGGGGCTCAGCGGCATCGCTGAGAAGAGGGTGTTTCACTTCAGACGGGCGCAGAGCCATGTGTATATAAACCCTGGAGCAGCGGCCCGGGGAGGATTGCTAAGCACACCCACACCTCGGCTCACTTGGCAGCCTGGCCAAGTGCCACCGGCTGGCCCGGCGGCCGAAACCCCGGCGTACAGGAGGACGTGAGCGATCTGCCCATGGGATCCCGCCTGCTGCTGATGCTGATGCTGCTTCAGGCAGGTGAGTACCACCTCTCGGTCCCTCTCCTTCCCCATGCCTCCCAGCCCCAGGTCCCGGGACAGCCTCTCCCTAGGCTGTCAGCTTTCTGTGCTGCGCAGCAGGGACCTTCTTGTGGTTTGGCCAAGTGAGAAGAAAAGAAAAAAAAAGTGCTGCTCGACTCTTTTCAGCTGTGTAGCGAGGGCTGTGTGAGGCAGCCGCCTGCCCACTTCACTTCCCTGGCAGGTGACAGAGCTGGGGCAGTGTAAACACGGGTCATTTTCTTTTTTGGGTAGTTTTCTGCTACAAAGTTGTTGCCTTCTGTGTTTCTTCATAGAAGTACCCTCTTTTTATACTAGTGACCGCCAAGTAAGCAGTTTTCAATTCATCTCAATTTAAAGTAATTTTTTAAAAACCTGTTTAAAAAATGGCCATAAATGCCTGCTAACATAAAGCCCCTACACACAGAGGCAACACAACACTAAACTGGCAGGTCTGAGGTTATACCTGCACCACAGCTTGAAAATAAACCTGAAAATGTTGCTTTTATCTACAGCAGAGGCTGCCCATTTAAGCAGGAAATAAACGTGTATGTTCACCTCCCCACAGGAACGTCCGCTGATAAGGTGCCCCATTAGTAGTATAGCTAACGATTGGACTAGCTCCTAATGGGAGATAAGGCTCAACGCAGGCTGCTGTGGAGCCTCGGACTTTTTCAAGGCTTTCCCAGCTGCATTGGCTTGGCTGCCCAGCATAGAAAAAGCAATTTAGGTTCTTGGTCAAGTTATTAGCCATGCACATGAATATTGAAGTGTACTTGCTGGGGCTGACCTCTCAGCTGCAGCGACCCGCCGTCAGCTCAAAACCCAGCCATCTTTCAAAGAATGAAACAGGAACATCAGAGGCCACCTGGATGCCTGTGTTATGTCAAGCTCTCGCAGAGTGCACAGCCCGAAGCACCATCTTTTGGACACAGTTCCCTTTTGGGCTTTCTCTCCGCTTTCATAACCAGCCCTGCACTGTAATTACAGCTCCTTGATCCTCAGAGATAGCCCCAAAAGAAGAATGGCCTTTCTTCTTCTGAGTGAGGTGCAGTTACCTTACACAAGCCTTGGCTGTTTTCAGCCAGCAGCCTACAGACAAAGCCTAGTGGTCCTGGCTTAAGAGGTCAGCAAAAGCAAAAAAAAAAAAAAAAAGCAAGCTGCTCGTCAGGAGGCCTGAATGTCTACAAAGAAGTTTTTGTCTCCATTGGAACTTTTTCAGGGTCTGCAAACTGCAACAGGTTGAAAAAGCATGGTTTTTAACCCCAAGTCCAGAGCAGCTCACTGCTTGTGATTTCCCCTGGGGTGCCTGAGAGCTGAGACGGCTTCTAACCCCGGAGCCCGAGCTGTTTAGGCAAGGGAAATAGGTTGTCTCTTTAGTCTCGAATAACACAGCCTAATGCGTTTTTAGCACGAAACCTGAACACTCAAGCAGTGTTTAGGTGAGCAGCGCAGTTACTTTTTCAGGAATGTCCATTTAATCCCCAAGGAATGCCCTGGGAAGCATAAGGAGGCTGTGTGAAACCCCCACTCCATGCCAGGACGGCCCAAGGTGCCGATTGCTGGTGTAAAAACTGTGGAGGGAAGAGAGAGGGAGCAAAGCCCTGCCTTGTCCTTCACAGGGAAAGACCCTTGTTGTCCTTGCAGGGGCTTTGGATCAGGCGGGGAGGGTGAGCCAGCCCAGGAGATGCGGGGAGAGGCCCTAGGATGGGGATTAGAGGCGAGGTTTTAAAAGGAAAGCAACGGTTTTAATAATAGTATTGAGTCCTCGCGTGGTTTAGGGGATTAATTAGTCCGTGTTTGCACAGCACTTTGAAGAGGTCAAGTGTGCTGCCACAGCCGGGGGCAGGTGGCAAAGCAACTTTGGTGGCGGGTTCCCCGCTCCCAGGCGTCACCGCCCTCTCCATCCGAGCCTGTCGCAAAGCCCCCCTGTGCAGGCAGGCTTTTCTTTTTGGAGCTGTTGTGTACAGGTGGGATGAATGGATGGGTTGGGCAGTCGGTCCGAGGGGTTTGATGCTACTGGTGAGTAGCTTTCCCACCCTCCATAGAGCAGCGCAAAGCGCACTTGGTCCTTCACGGTAAACCCAGGCAGTAAGTACTCCCATCTGTTGCTATCGTTAACATGATAAGCATCAATGTTTTCAGCTGAGCAGAACAGTGGTTTGAGTATTAGGGGCAGGGTACTGTTGGTTTCTGTAGCGGTTATTGCAAGGCAGAGCCTGTGGTTTCTAAAGAAGTTGCAAATTGACATGTGAAATCATGGCACTCTTTGAAAGGCTTGTGACTCAAAAAACTCCAGACAGGTTTGGGTGGCCATCCACACACTTCAGCTGACACAGAGCTTCCTTTTTTATTTTTCCGAATTAATGCAGCCAATCTGATGTTGTGACTTAAATGGAACGTAATAACGGAGGTGGATGTAAATGTTGCCAGCGCTTCCAAATGCTCAAAAGAAAGCCGATATACATACATGTCGGCTAGGCTGACGTAGGCACTCTATCCTTGACAAAGTATGCCTTAAGGGCTCAGTGACTTGTAGCTATCCCTGTACGCAAATTAATAGTACTGTCAGCTCTTTGCCATCTGGAGAATGGGTTAAAATATGCTGAATAGTAGGGGAAACTTGGGTAATATAGAAACCTCACTTTTTTCCATAGAGCCCAGGTTAGGTCAGGTTGTGTGCTTGTCCTCTGCTGCTTCCCATCACATTTGCGACTGTAGCATAGCTCATAAGCTTTCCCAGGTTTGGGAGCTCTGGGGCGCAGTGGAGCCCAGTTGGCTCTGCGTGGTGCTGGCACAGGTCCTGCAAAGCTTAACCGGTTGGGCTCCACCATCTGCAAAACCGGGCCACTGCTCCCGGGTGCAATATAGCTGCAATCACACACAAATAGACCAGAGCTAGGAAGTCCTGCTTGAGCTGAGCTCCCTCTGCAGGGATACCCTGCTTGGGTAGGGTGCTGTATCTGCCTCCTGCGTATCCCAGCCCTCTGGGAAGGCCCCTGCAGAGTCCCCTTTGCAGGGTGAATGTCATGGTTAACCAGATTGTCAAGGCTGCGCCCAACCAATAATAATAAAATAATCCACCTTTAAGGACTTTAAGAAAACCAGCATCAGATGTGTTTAATTCTTGTGTGTGAAGTCATGTTCTGTCTTTGCAGTTTGGAAAGGTGCTTTGGGAAAATCCCATTCGCTGCACACCCGAGGAATCATAGAACTGGCAGGAGCTATATCGTGCGGCACGGGACGGTCTCCCTTGGCATATATTGGCTATGGATGCTACTGTGGACTGGGAGGACAAGGCTGGCCTAAAGATAAAACTGACTGGTAAGAAGAACCTCAACTATGAGTCCAGAAGCAGTGCAGATATCCCCAGCCTTCCCTGTTCATACTCCTGTGACTCCGTGGACTGGTTACTGCCTTATGGAGGGGGAACTTAGTATATATGAACAGCACTGGGGAATTGTGAGTGAGGACCCACGTATTCCTTGGGGTTTGAATGAGGGTTTAACCACCTTCTGGGTGAGAGCAGAGCTCTTGGGACCTTGTACTATGTGGGGTGGAGGGCAAAGGAGGAACCACGATATGATTTCCTGAAATAGCTGCATGTCTGTTCATAGAGAGCAAGCTCTGCCTGAAAAAAAAACCAAACAGGAGGGACCAAAGTATTAGGAGGGTTATTTCACCCACGTCCTGAAAACGGTAGCGATGGGAATATTACTGTTTGACGTCTGAAAGAAATCCAAATCATTGCAAGGAGTAATCAAACATGTTGCCTTCATTGCCTGTTAGTTCACCCTGAATCAAGGAAGAACAACAGGGTAGAGCATGGTGTTATTTCCCCTCTTCCTTGTTAGCAGGGAAGATGCAGCGCTTGTTATTCCCGAGGCTAAAAGCAATGAGTCTAGGAGGTGTTGCAATCAAAGGTTTCTTTCCTGTACTTTGCAATTAGCATACATGTAAATCTTGATCAGGGTAGACTCTTGTGTGCTCTGAGCCCGTTACTTGCAACCTTGTCTGGTTTTAAACCTCAAAGGCAGAGCACCCAGGTCTGTCTATTTATCTACAGCCAACAGTGCAGGTGTTACTGATAAGCAAGCGCTGCTTTTAGCAGGGGTGAAGGCAGCGTGCAGCTCACAGGGAAGGAACCCAACCTTCCCAGAATATCCAGCCATTGGAGACATTTCGCATTGCTACAAAACCAAACTTTTGCTGAATTGGCAGGACAGAAAAAGGAAAAAAAAGGAAGAAAAGGTGCCAAGATTAAAGACCAACTCCTCCGGGGGCATAAAAGAGCAAGTGTCCCTTAAAACTAGTGGAGATGTCTCCAGTGAGAAGTTTCACTCCCAAAGCTCTCCCTTCACATCCCTGGTTTGTACCTATGAAACATTTAATCTATGAAACAGTCAATATGGGACTTAAAAATAATGAGTAACTCCCTACAAAGTGTCATGGCTTTCAGGTGTAGAGACTACTTTTAGTTTTCAGTAATATCTCTTGACCTGCTTATTACCACCTACAGCAGTGTCTATAAACGTGTTTATTATTTTTGATAGCCCCTTACCAACTTTCATAATCAAGCCTTTAACATAAAACACAGCTTCATTAATTTGGAGTGCTTTTACCAAAGGGTTGAGTGGAGTCACCTAAAAGCTGTTTTCCATAGACATTGGGTGACCCCCAAGTTTAGGTGACTGGGAGCTGTGAGTGGTCAGCACTCCTGAAAAACAAGACAGAGAGAGTAAAATATGGCTATGTGTCTATCAGCCAGTGTTTCTGCTGCCGTGTGATTTCCATGGGATGTGGATTCTATCCTAGCGGCAGCAAAGGAGGACTCCACAACTGAAAATGCCTCAAAATACCAGATATTTTGTAAAAAAGAAGGTTGATCCTTTAAGTGCATTCAGTATTATTCCTTAGCTGCAATGCTTGGCTGAAAAAACAAACAAACAAACAAACAAAAAACCCAGCAAGGTTTGCATTTAGGTTCTTAGCAAGGAAAAATTGGCAATGCCCCAGTAGATTTAGCCCTAAAAATTTATATTTTATTTTTGCTAGAGTAATCTTCCTATATGCATTACTGAGAATTACTGCAAAAAATCAGTGTGGTTGAGTACCCTATGCCTGTCAAAGTGACCACATTATTTTCCATAGTTGCCATTCTAAAAAAAGAAAGAAGCGGAGTGGCAAAACTACTGTCCGTGAGTGACAAACACTGTTTGAAATTACTCACCCCCTTGACACTTCTAGCTTTATTACTGAGACCCTTACAAAAGGAGTAATTTTCTTGTGAGTAATTCAGTCAATCTGTCTAGACAAGGGTAGAGTGCTTCTAAGCACCTCTCTTTATGGGAAAAGAGAAAAAGCCATCGAGTGGGTAATCCTTTTATAAGTTTTATTCCACACACTGACTTTGATGTGGCATTGTCAGTAATTACCTTTTCCCTTTTGTTCCCTTCTCACAGTCCCATGACTTCAAGACATAATGGCATCTCTTCTGCATAAAGTCAATAGATTTGTTTCTCTGTCCCCTTTCTGGTCCCTGGGATTGCTGCAGCACCCAGTTTGTCAAACAGGACCTGAAGGTGCTCAGCATCTCCCTGAAAACACCGCATGCTGTGAAAGGCAGGGTGGCATATATGGCTCACCTGAGTCCTGGCAAACTCATAGGGAAGAGTAAGATTTCCCCTCAGTTGCTGAGTTAAAGCAAAACAAAAGGACACACAGCGGTGGTTGTGGCGTTAACGTGACACACACAACATGACAAATTCTTACCTTAATGGCATTTACTCAACGGCAGGGGTCTGGCCAGCTGATCCCTGTGGGCCAGCCGGAGCTGTGTGTAGCCATTAGGGCTGTCTAGCAGCCCAGACGTGATGAATGGGTTGCTTACTAACTAGATGACACGGTTGTATTTGTTTTCCATACCTGTTGACCAGTTCTCTGCCATCGTGTTGGCTGACTGTTTGCTTTGGTCTAACCAAGCGTTAGCAGGTTATTAAAAGCTTAATGCCACGCTCTGACCCAGGTGTAGGAAAGGGCATTTCCAGGCAGGAGGGGACCATCTGAAGGCGGCGAAGGACAACAATAGGTTTCCTCCGTCTTCATTCCCTGGCAGTTCTTTCAGCCCATCTGAAAGAGATGTTTGTAAAACATGAGTCAAAGTCTTCTCGCTTTGTGTTGGTGTAAACTACCTGTCACCCTGCTGCAGTTATGGGTATCATCAGGAGCAACTGGAAGCAGAATTGTGCTGCAAATCCTGTCGTCCTGCAGAATTTATACAATCCCGCTGATTTTGCCCAGCCAGCTAAGGAGCAACAAGTTCTCACAGCTAGCCAGCACACCTCTCTAGTGCTCATTTGCTTGTCCTCACCTGATTCACAGACCACCTTTTGCCCCCTCCCCAAGATCTGTTCTCACTTATCCTACCTCTTTTTCTGTTCCTTCCCTCTGGCTCTCCATGAAGAGCAATTTCATTCCCTTGGCATGCAGGCTCCTAACTCCCCCCTTTGCAAATCTGCCTTCGTGTTGTTCCTCTTCCCCATGCTCCTCCGCCATGGACACTGACTTTACCAATTTGACTACTGATTCACTTCCCAGACCTCACAAAGCCTATGATTTCTACAGCTGGCACTCCACCTCAGCTCAGCCTGATTCGTGGCTCTCCACTGTGGCCTCTTGTGCTCTGTGTCCCATATATGGGACTGTGGGCCTGTTCTGCTATCTATGGTGGGCCTATTCTGCTATCTATCATCCACCTGAGGATGGATGAGGCTGTGCTACATCTTCAGGTACATTAGCCAGGGTGCCCTGGGCTACAGCAACTCCTACAGATGACACATGCCCCGGTTGTAGCTCAGTGCCGTAGTTCATCCCTGTCATGTCATATGACACATTGCACAGGGACTCAAACGTTGGAGAAAGCTGAGACTTTCACACTTTCCACAAGGATGAAAATTCTTCTCTCCGTTGGCCTTTCACATCTAACCTCTTCAGGACAAGCCCAGGAGTGAGGTGCTACCGAACCAATAAAGATCTGACCCACAGCCTGTTACTGCTGTGATGTCCAAAAGAACTGGTTCCATGGGATGAATAAGGTCTTCTCAATTACAGCAATTGCTGCAACTCCACACGGGAAAACTTCTAGATGTGTATATCCCATAGGGTTTAGTCCCATTCTGAAATACTTTGAGGAGCTGGCATGGAAGGAGAGACTAGTCTGTTACCACTAACTTACATTTCTAGGTTTCACAATGCAGTGAGTAGTTTGGTTGTAATCATTGCACAGGTTTCATCTTTGCAAGCTGAGAAAGAAAAGGCATTTAGTTTGCAGACTTATCTGTGGGATGAAATTGCTACTTTTAACTACTAAATTGGGATCTCAGTCAGTAGGGAAAGCACACTGGACTAAATTCAGCCTGTGTGTAATCACAGGGGTTATATGAAGGCTGAATTTGATCTGACTGGTCTGACTCTGTTGTCTCTTCAACATGATTCACCTGATCTACTTCCAGTGATTTTATTAGAATTTGCATCAGTGGTGGATCTTCTTCTTTGTACTTAAAAAATTGCCTTTTTCTTTTCCTGGGCTTTGTCACCTCACAGAGTCCACCAGCCCTCTTATCCATAAACCAATTTCCAAAAGGGCAAAATTCTCCTGCAGCAGAGGGTGTTGAAGTTTGTGATGTTTCTGACCTCTTGGGTAAGGTACTGGCAGCTCTTGATGGGTCCCTGGAGAAGCCCCACTTCCTGCACAAGGGACTTTATCCTTCTTGCAGGGTTGTTCCACTTTTCTAGAGGGACATAATGATGGATCCCAGACTTTTGTTGGCTTTTCAGGTACACTGGCCTCAGGTCTTGAAGATAACAATCAAGGTCATTAACTGGATTTGGTAATCTATGGGCAGCCAGCACAGTCATTCTCCCTTTTGGCCAGTTCATCAACCTCTTGAACAGATTCACATCTAGGACTCAAGAGCCTCTCTAAAAGCTGTCAGCTCTTTGTTTACCCCTAATATCAGCCTGCCTCAATGTTTCCCAGTTAGTAAAGAGGTTTCTCTGTAAAGTCCCAGTGATCTTGTAGGGACAGCTTCTGGAAATGCAGGAGATCACTACTCTCTGGCTCCAGCCTCTGACCTTGCATCCTTGTTGAAACAACCTTTGTTATTGGCAGAGGACCTCTCTAAGTGCTGCATCTTTTCTTGGTGTATTTTGAGTCCCTAAACTACCCGAATAAAATTCAAGTGGGGTCAAGTTTTCCATAAATTCTGAAGTAATTAACAGTGGGAATTATCTCACTGACTAGTCTGTAGGACAAATGTCATCAGCTGAGCTAGTCACCCACAGCCCCCTCTATGGTCAATGAAAAGCAATTGCACTTTCAAATGCAATGTTTCTCACCCATGTTAGATCTCTGTAGTATTCTAATACGAACTGTGCCCCAGACGTGCATAAAGGGAGTATAGATCAATGCCTTAGCTCTGGATGTTTACATTTAGGGATCTGAAGGTAACTGATATGAATTCCACCATTGAGACCGATGAGTTTGTAGCCAGCCCTCAGAAACTGGATGGGCCAAGGAGCGCATGGCAGGTCTAGGTGAACTGAAGAGGTGAAGCTGCTTGGTCATGCTAAGGAAAGCAAAAAACATCCTGACTCCAAAATCTGGGATGGGTCTAAGCCTAAGCCAGCGAGCCACAATCATGCACCTCATAGGAACGCTTCATCTCCCTTTCAGTGAGATTACCATGTATTAACCATACCTGCCCCTCTCAGGGCAAAAGCTTGGAGGGAAAAGCGCAGTGGTCATGGGAGCAAATATGGCATTAATGAGCTCCTGAGCCGTGTGAACTTTCACAGAGATGCCAAGACGCTTAGTTCATCAACAGATGATTTACTGACCGTCTGGAGCAAGCATTGGTGTCGTGAGCAGTGTGTGAGTGGAGTATGTGCAAACACCCCTGAGCAAAGCGTGCAGGATGCAGGAGGGCACCCAAACTCTACCTTTTATTCTCTCACAGGTGCTGCCACAGGCACGACTGCTGCTACGACAAGGCAGAGAAGGAAGGCTGCAGCCCCAAAGCACAGCGCTACCAGTGGGAGTGTGAGCAGAATGCCGTGCGGTGCGGTAAGGAAATGCTCCCTCACGTTGGGTTCGTTTCGTGCCCTCCTCTGCAGGCACTAGGCTGACTTAAAGAGCTTTGTGGGCCTCAGAGGTAGGTCTGTGTATGCTGAGCTGGTTTCAAAGCCACTTGAGGCAATGTCCGTTCTCCTCCAAGCTCTCTGCCCATCTCTTGCTCGGATCACTAGGCTTGCCAAGAGTCCCCAGCTGGAGATGGAAGGAAGGCTGGAGCCCCAGCACCACCTGTTCCAGGTAACCTGAGTCATCCCCAAGCTGAAGAGCAGGAGTGGGGGCCATGGAGTCCACAACCCATCTCATTTTAGCAGGGAGGCAGAAGCCCCTCTGGAGGCTCTCCACTCGCTCACGTTAAGCATGCCTGCTCCTCACCAACTGTTTCCCACAGCTGTGCAGTGATCTGCAGGGGTGGTCTTCCCATGGTAGTTTTGGCCCTCCCTTCAGCAAGACTGTTCACTTTTTTACTTACCATTATGTACTGCTAGAGAAGAGCTGTGCTATCATGCATGGCCGAGAGACAGGTTAAATAGGATGCCAGCCTGCATCTCTACATCCTGTGAGGCTCCAGCCTGAAGCCCTAGGGCTCCAGCGGGGATTTTGAAGCTTGCAGAATCAAATGCTCTCAAGTGCCGCAGGCGTACAGTGAGTGTAGGCTGTGCTCAGCTCTACAGCTGGTACCCAGTCAAGAAGGTCTTGAATTGCACAGTCACAGCCCATCAGTGGCTTGCACCAGTTTGTTTTGACATACACCAGATGACGTGAGTCTTAGAATTTGTCACTTCTATTTCTAAGTCTCCAAAAAGTCCCTGATGGTAAAATCCATTGTAGAACACTTTGAAAGTTTGAAAAGAAACATGTGAGACTAAAACTTGTCCCCATACAATCAAAGCTACTTGCTTGAACATTAGAAGACTATTTCTACCTTATCAGAAGACCGTATTCTACTGGTGCAATCCTCAGCCTCTCCAGCAGCTGAAAATCTGCCAGCAGATACGGGATGGGGTGCAGCACATCAACACACAGTTGCTCTTTTCCAAGTGCCAGAACAAACTATTAAATACAAAATACTGGTGAAGGAATGTATTGTTTTAATGTATAACTGCTATCCTGCCCACTTACCCATATTTCCATAGCTGACTGGCATTTTCTGCTAGCTATTTTATATGAAGAAAAATCCTGTTCCTTTTGGCAGTGAAGGAACAATCCTAGTTGTGGATGTGAGACATATCATTGAGCCCACCAGACATGTGCAAAGTATGTCTCATAAGAGTGCACTGGGCTGCATTTGCTCCAGTCTGGCTAACAAGCATTAGCTAAACAAATGCCGTTAATTCCTTAACTGTTGGCCAGGCAAGGCCTGAGAAGCATCCATCAACTGTTCTCCGCAAACCCTCATCAGGCTTTACTTCCCTTGACATCCCCCATGGGAGGAACAATAGAAACATGCTCTGAAGGCAAATTTCCTACCCCAGGCTACAGCACAGCAGGATTTACTGAGGTGTGAAGGTATAATAGAATCATAGTATGATACAATAGTTGGGTTGGAAGGGACCTTTAAAGGTCATCTAGTCCAAGCCCCCTGCAATGAGCAGAGACATCTTCAACTAGGTCAGGTTGCTCAGAGCCCCGTCCAACCTGACCTTGAATGTTTCCAGGGATGGGGCATCTGCCACCTCTCTGGGCAACCTGTGCCAGTGTTTCACCAGCCTCAGCGTAAAAAATTTCTTCCCTGTATCTAGTCTAAATCTACCCTCTTTTAGTTTAAAACCATTACCCCTTGTCCAGTTGCAACAGGCCCTGCTAAAAAGTCTGTCTCCATCTTTCTTATAAGCCCCCTGTAAGTACTGGAAGGCTGCAATAAGGTCTCCCCGGAGCCTTCTCTTCTCCAGGCTGAATAACCCCAACTCTCTCAGCAACTCTCTCAGCATGTCCTCATAGAAGAGGTGCTCCAGCCCTCTGATCACCGTCATGGGCCTCTTCTGGACCCACTCCAACCGGTCCACGTCCTTCTTATTTTGGTGGCCCCAGAGCTGGATGCAGTACTCCAGGTGGGGTCCCATGGGAGTGGAGTAGAGGGGCAGAATCACCTCCCTCAACCTGCTGGCCACACTCCTTTGGATGCAGCCCACGATATGGTTGGCCTGGACTGTGAGCGCACATTGCTGGCTCCTGTTGAGCTTCTCATCCACCAACACCCCCAAGTTGTTCTCCTCAGGGCTGCTCTCAATCCCTTCATCCCCCAGCCTGTATTGATACTGGGAGTTGCCCTGACCCAGGTGCAGGACCCTGCACTTGGCCTTGTTGAACCTCGTGAGGTTCACATGGGCCCACTTCCTGAGCTTGTCCAGGTCCCTCTGGATGGCATCCCATCCCTCAGGCATGCTGACTGCACTACTCAGCTTGGTGTTTGCAAACTTGCTGAGGGTGCACTCAATCCCACTGTCTATGTCATTAATGAAGATATTAAACAGTACTGCTCCCGATATGGACCCCTGAGGGACAACACTTGTCACCGATCTCCATCTGGGCATTGAGCCGTTGACCAGCACCCTCTGGATGTGACCATCCAACCAATTCCTCATCCACTGAACAGTCCACCCATCAAATCCGCACCTATCCAATTTAGAGAGAAGGATGTTGTGGGGTTACCATGTCAAAGGCCTTACAGAAGTCCAGGTAGATGATTGATGCTCAATCCCATTCAAACAAAAGTGATGAAGAATTAAATTTCCAGGCATGCTTGCTGGGCCTAGGGTAATGATGTCCAGAAACATCAGGAGCAGAACTGCTTGCACTGTCCTTTCTATGCAAGAGGAAAGAAAAGCCTGTTGCCTGGTACTGTATCATAAACACAGATATTTTCTGGGAAATTAAATAGAAACTCATTTTAGCTGGGATCTCTCCTCCTTTTGCTACTGTTACTCAGTTTTGTTTGTGGAATGAAAAAAAATTGGCAAAACCTTATTTTTCAGTCCAGGTATGTCATCACATGTAGGCAAATTCCATTCGATAAATATCTGGAATATAGAAAAGGTTGTAAATTGTAAGGGCTGGTCAAAAAAATCATTCTGCTCTAACAGAAACGACTGCCAAACCAGACTCTTGTACTTAAATTAAACAGACAGTGGTTGGCACAGCACAGGAAGAACTCTAGGTGCAGAGAGCAAGGAGAAAATCAGGCAGGACTGGTAGTTGAGAAAGAAATTGAATTAGTGCTGAGTCCTCATCAGTTAGACCCTTGAAACACTTTTTACCAGCAAACATGTGATTCTTCAGACAAGCTTAAGAAATACGGGCTGTTCTTATTTGTCAGGTACAGGGTTGACCCAGCAAAGTCCAGTGATATCTGAGAGGATTCCTCTACTCATTGCAACTGGTTTTGGAGCAAAGCCCATGTGCCCTGGCATGAAGTTACACCATAAATTTTGCCTAGTGCAGGGTTTGGTGGGTGTTAGATAAGTAGCAGCCTCGAATAAACAAGGCAATGTGCTTTTAAGTAACGGTACCCCAACGGCTGCATTATAGTCATCTACAGGTGGGATGGGGTTCATCAACCCAAAATCAGTCATTTGCAATGTAGCTGCCTGAGCTAGTTGCTTTATGTACCTCATGGTCCTTACCTAGTCATGTAGTCATATAATCTCATTATAAATAGTTCCACAGGTATAATTTTGATCAGCTTCCTTAGCTGCTGACTCATAAAGATTGGGTACTTCACCCTGCGGCAGAGTTCCTTGGCTCCTCTGCCATGATCAGAGAGAGATGTAAGAGCAACTTATGGAGCACGACTAAAGGATGCCCGGTGTGTGCTTCTATGCCCCCCAGATATGTCCCTCTGGAGATTCTTCCTTTCAAAGAATCATTTTTTCTTTTGAAATCCATCTGATTTGCAGAGGGAGGAATTGGAAGGGAAACTGACTGAACTGAGGCAATATGAAATATTGTTAGCTTAGGCTACTTTCTGATGCTCTTGGTCACAGGTAAAGTCAGACCTGCTGACAGAGACAGGACAGCGGAGGGTCAGATCCACACACAACAGGGCATGTTGGTCCTTCTCTCTTCCTGCTCCCACAGCCTCTGTTCCCTAAGAATTGCTTTATTAGGGAATTGTTCCTCTTAAAACTGTTTCTTGCCTTCATCCGATATAGAATCTCTCATCCTCTGCTCACATTTTCTTTTGCAGATAACCTGACAGACCGATGTGAAAAAATGGTGTGCCTGTGTGACCAAGAAGCAGCCAAGTGTTGGGGAGCAGCCCCATACAACCCACACTTCATCCTCTGGCCAGACTTTTTATGTGGACAGACTCATCCCACCTGCCATTTCAGATATGGGGGGGCAGAATAGTCTTTTTAGGACCTTTCTTCTAACCCTTTGAATCTGAAGGTGCTGGAATAAAATTTTACCTCTTTTACCAGACCTAAGAATGGTGTGAGAGAATTTTTATCAGACCAGTGTTTATGAGGAGGAGACACAGGGTAAAATATATGCTGAAGTAAGGATAAGATCCTGCACTGACCCCCGCCTTTGCCGAAACAGAGGATTCGGTCTGCAGTGCAGTGAGAACACATTACCTGTCACCAAATGGCTTTTTTGTCCTTTCACATTGCCTGACTTTCAGCTCCCATATGTTTGCACATGATCTGGAAAATATGTAGAGACTTCCGTTGGACTGGTTTGAAAAAAAAAAAATCCATCCCTGTGAAAAGATACACTGGCCTTCGAAGACCCAGGGCGTGCCAGTCTGGGAGTGACCCACTTTATTTTCCTGGACAGGAGGAGGAGAGGGGATATCAAAGAGGGAAGACACCTTATTCCTTATTTGTGCTCGGAGGAGTTCTGCTTCCTACCAAGAGGAAAAGCAGATCCTGGCCCGGGGGAGGGCTCCATCCTTTCTTGTGGAGAGTGTGTGTGCGTTTCTTAGCTTATACAGCCAGCTGTCTTACCCTTCATGTTCCTGCATCACAGCACTGCGGACATGAGGCACATTCATAGGTACGCAGAGTCAGACGGGGCTATTGCTGTTGCGAGGCCAGCAGGGGTTTCTGACTTTTACTAGTCGGCACACCCACACTTTGCAAAAGAACACGTTGCTTACCTGCCACACACACTTCAGAGCTATCCCTGTACAGGTATTAGCATATCCCACAGTCACCGACCACCTGGGAATAAGTTGCTGTCATGTCAGGAAACTGGGGCTGTGGATAACATCAGTCATGCAAGCAAATCTTTCATCTCTCCTTTTTTTTTTTAAGGGTCTTATATTGAAACCCTACATTTCCTTCTGGCAAGAGTATACCAAAATCCCATTCTTTCAGCAAGGGGTAGGTACGTTCAAGTGGGCCTTCTTTGCCTCTTTGTTACAAGCCTGTGGGCTGGAGCAAGACGAGAGCCTCTATACTGAGAGGCACACACAGATGGGAGCCACAGTTGCACCCCCAAAAGCAATGCATTCGATTTCCTCGGGCAGGTGTTAGCAGCTGGGGAGCTGGGGGGCCGGGGTAGGTCAGGCTTCTTCTGTCTCTTCTGAAGCACAACTGACAAATTTCGAGTACCACCTTTAAAATAAGAAGTAAAGGCAGGGAAAGACCCAAGGTACCTCATCAGAGTCTAGATTCAGAGACATGTGGCCAAACTATGTGGGGCTTTGGCAGGTGATCATACAAATTCCTTTACAAAAGGCTGTTTTGCTCCTCGCTGCAGAAGGATGCTGAATATGCCACTGTGGCTGTCAAAGCTGCAGGAGAAAGAAACAGACTAACAAAAATAAAAATGCCAAAGACAACATGTACTGAGGCAAAAGCTTTTATTCCATCTAGAGCTCCACTTTTGGCTTACAAGGCATCAGAAATTGTTCCACCTGTGGGCGTTGCACCTTCCAGCCACTCCTGTAACGCTGCACCTCAAGCTATGCAAGAATCAAAGGAGAGAGAGCGAGTGAGCGACACGGGGTTAGTACAACACAACAAACTCTTTCCAGGCTTTCTGGCAAGCAAAGAAGTTGTGAACCCTGTTTGTGCAGAGGGTTTGCCAAGGGGTGATGCTGTGTGGGCAGCACCAGCCTTGGGATGCGGGTGCGGTTCTCAGCAAGGGCTGGAAGACCCTCCGGCGGTAAGCAGGGGCAGAGCTCCCGGCCGTGTCCCTGTCCCCGCCAGGCTGGCCATCAGGTGGCGGCAGCGCTCCAGTGACTGGCAAGAGCAGCTCTTCCTTTATCCCTTCAGGGAGGGGATTTTTATTTTTTCTTTTCAGCAGGCCGAGCAAGATTTTTGAGTGGGGGGAGAAGAGGTGCAAATCACCCGGCTCGTCACTGAAAGCAAAAAGTCAGCTGAGCTCAGTCTGAAAGGCAGAGCACGTCTTGGGTTGCACAAAACACGAACTAAGCTTGTTTCAAAATCCAGCCTTCAGTGTCAGTCTGCTCTAGTTAGACAAGCTGACAGAACTGGAAAAAACAGGGGAGCTTTCAGGTACATCAGCCTCTTCTCGGGTAATTTCTTTGGCTCATGTGTAATAAAAATGTCTCGTTTTCCCAACCAGATCAGCTGATCTAATAAAAGATATTACTGGGCTTTACAAACCACACCTCAAATATACACTTAGGCCATCATAGGCTTTCTGTACACAAGCATTACAAAAATATGGATGCAAGCATGTACTTGGTTGGAGGAAGAACCATCCTTCAGTATAAACCTAAAAGAACAGGAGACCAAGGACTTCGTTCAAAGGAGATGGAGCATCTCATTGAACAACACTTTGCCGAAAGCAGTAATTAAAGAAGATCCTGTTGTTTTGTTTATAGGTAAGTCATTAGGCCCACAGGTGAAGCTCTACCCAACTATTTGAAAAAGAGATGGAATATAGAGCCAGCCCTGTTAGAGTTTCATCCACACTGCTTATTTCCTGAACCAGATCCCGTGTCTGACCATAAGTAAGTAAATGGTTAAATGCTCCTTAAGTTAAAAAAAAGGTACCTTTGGAAATAGGTGACTGGGTTCATCGTTCTAACAAGGGATCCCAGATTTTGGTTTGTGTTCCTTACCTTGGCGAGAGCCTTGTCTCATGCAGAGGGCGCACCTCCTCAGCTGTGGCGTTAAAACTATGATCAGAACCACTACACCTCCGATACCAGCCGCCACAACCCCAATGATGGTTCCGATGGATTCCTCTATACCAAATAAGCCTAGGGGAGAAGGGGAGGCAGAGAAAGTAACCTAAGATGTTGTCCAGGCAAACATATGCGATGCAGCCAGCATGCAGTGGCTGCAGAGGAAGCCACTTACTGCGATATTGATTATGCCGATGTCTTGTCTGACATGAAATCATGGGCTTCTACATGGGAGGGAGTGTATTGTACGATGAAGTTATTGATTTTTTTCATTGCTAGGTAGGAAGCTGTTATGCTTTCTGGGGATTTAGGGACAGGACAGCCCCATCTTCCTAGCAATCTCCCTCAACAGCTGGATGCTACAGGATGGCAAAAGATGCTGCTGCCCGAATTAATGGGACTCAAGGCTGTATACTTTATTTTGAAATGAAAAAAAAATACTCAAGACAGTTTTGAGAAAGTCATCACTCTCCCTATCTTCCTTCAAAGGAGACTGCACCAGTGGGTGGGCAGAGCTCCACTGAAGTCCTTTCTATGATTTGTTGCTCTTTGAGACTGTTTCATGGCAGAGATTGGGATAATCCCATTTTCTTTGAGGTAAGAGCACATCAGCATTCTGGCTTTTTAATTTGTCAGGACTGAAGGATGATTCAGGAAGTGCCTTTGGGCAGGTGAACACAGCAGGATGGACGGTAACAAGGGTAATGGGATGCAGCATGGAGAGGATCTGCCCTCAGTGTAGAGTCTGTCAGAGCAGGAGTATCTCTTTAGAGAGAGGGAACTGGCTGGGCAATGGCACAAGACCGATCTGATCAGATTTTGAGTGACTGCCTTGTGCTCACAGTAGTCGTTTTGCCACATGGCTCACCCAGGAAGGGTAATAAAAGAATGGCCTTCCAGTTTTATCTAAAATGACAGTATGATCAGGCGTTCATTACATAGTTCTGTGGGGTTCTATTTAAGCTTCACTAGAAAATTTGGGCAGTTTTGCTACCATATTCACACACAGAATTCCAAGTGTCAGGCCACCCATTCACAGGAGTAGCTGCTACTCTGTGCTACCTAGCCAAATGGATGGACGGACAGAGAGCAGCTCACCCGTAAACCAGCTGTAGCTCATCAATAAAAAACCGCTCCCCTCCTCCCTCATACAGGGAGGTATCCTGTAGCTTAAATCCATTTGTGGGGCTGCTCATTTCATCAGGAAAGCAGGGGCAATGACAGTGCTGTAGAACCATTACTTACCTTACTTCAAAATGCATCTCATTTGCTTCCTGTAACGGACAAGTTAACAGAGTCAGCTAATTTCTCCTATTAATTTTAGATAAGTTTTTGAACAGTCTGGATTTGTGGCACCTGACATTTCTTTATAAGTTGTATTTCTCATATTCTCTTGTCCCTTTAACTCAGGCATAGTGCAGAAATGATGTATTTCATCTTCTCAGGAGCACAGTAAGGCGATTAGACTGCCCAGGGTGCAGACATCGCAAGAGTAACCTGCGCTACTGAGACTATGAGATCAAGCCAATGGGAGACCTCACCAGACACATGACCAAGACCTTGCGGGGGGGAATGGTTTTCTCGCCTTGTTAGAGCTACGGTTTAAGCTGAGTAGTTTTATAAAAATCAGGAAGGGAAGAACTGTGCTCAAAAGGGCACAGGCTTAGTGAATCTCAGTGAGCTAGAAGCTTTGGTAATGAATAAAGGGGAAGTGGCACTTGTATAATTTACTCTTGACACAGAAGGTGTTATTTTTTGTTAATTAGATAATAAGATAATAAACCTTCTGATGTGTTGATTTGTTGGGACTGGAGTGTGTTTAGCCTACATAAAAAGGAAAGCTGCTTTGACATTTCTAGCTGATAAAGGCAAAGCAAGTTATCTCCTTACTTAATATGCCTAGTGTCTATTTGTGAGGCTAACAAAACATAACATGGCACTATTAATGCTACTCTGATTTTAATGTGAATGAAGTTAAGCAGAAATGATATAATGTGATCTTTGTGTTTATTGTGGGATTACTTATGTCATCCATAGTTAAGGAACGCAAGTTATGGGGTTGGAGAGAAATAATGTCCAAAAAAAAAAGGAGTTTGGAGCTGTTCCGTGAGATGATATCTTGACATCTGTCACTCATGGGGGTTCTGCTAAACAGAGCTGTGAGTACAAGAGAACTTGTCTGACTGTTTCACCCTTGGTACTGACTTTGATTTTAGTGATAAAATTATTCCTTCTTATTTTTTGGTTGTAAATGCCCCTTGTTACAATATTACCTCTGTGATTGCTTACAGAGGCAAGCCAATCAAAATTAGATG